AATTAAGTTTGCCAACTATTCGCAAACAATCTGGCAATTGTCTGTGGAAGAAGTTTTTCCTAAGGATGAGCATTTGCCTCAATCATCTCATAACACAACAAGTGAGAAATTGATCTGACAAACTGTTGTTGGAAAGGTCGAGTTTATGGATGTTAAAGGCCAAGGGTGTAGAGGCAATGGACCTGACAAATTATTTGAGATTCAAGTCCAGTGAATCAAACTATTTTTGAAGGGTGTGAAGCGGATTACAATGAAAAAGTCATTATAATTCCTTTCCCACCCCATCCCTAAATTTTTTGTTAAACTAATCCCCTTCGTTATATAGTGGTGAAAGTTGTTATCCTTGTACATCATTATGGTATTTTTTTATATTCAGTTTCTACAGATAGAAGAGCTTTTATAATCTTATCTAGTAATTAGATTATGGTTGTATCCTTTGCTAATTATATCACTATAAATAAAGGTTATCGAAGTAGTAGAGTGCACATCGTGTTTCAGTACAAGCTCCTTTTATACAACTTAATTTACTTAGAAAGAAAGGATAAGATTTCACCTAAAATTGGCATTCTTGATTGTCCTCTTGTCACAACCTCATGTAATTGGTCCATTCATTTTTCCTCTTCTTTTTTCACATGCTATTAATTAATGTCTATGATTTTAATTTCATGTGTTTAATTAGTTTTAATTAATTTAATTACAGGTATATTATGGTTGTACTTACCAATAATTGAAGCTGGGTTTGTTCGACCAGATTATTGCTACCATGATGATGGGCCATCGAGATTGCCCAGAGGAAAGGCTTTTTGTTGTCAAGATCCAAACGATACAATGTCCAAAGGGCTCCTGCTTGTTCATAAATTCACCAAGAAGTTCAGACAAAATTATGTTTTTCATCCTAACTTTATATATACATAGTTTATATAAAGTTAGATGAAATATAATTTTGTCTAATATGATGTATTATAGAATAAGTTTCTCTAATTAAAGAACTTAATTATATTAATAAATAAATATAATAAATACTAATGTGTTCTTTGATTGATACCATTCCAATAAAACTCTAAATCTACTTATTTTTCTTTTCTCTAACCAATTTGATGTCAATTTGTAATCAATAAAACTCAATATAATCCCTTGCACATTACCTACCAACTACTGGGGTTGGTGTCTTTTCATTAATGTTTTAATATAATTGTTACAACTATTTTGAATGAGAAGACTTCATGAAGTCCGAGTCGAACTTCATGAGAAATAAAAATTAAGTGTAAAACTTACGTTACATTACGTGACTCAAGTAACGTAAATATCTTTTGATTTTCATCAGTTTTAAACCTTGATGGTCACATATTTGTCAGTTTTCAAATGCTCAGTTTTCAAACGTTTGGGATTTATGACAACCATTAAGCATGTCATTAAGAGCTTGATGGAAGCTTGGCTATGTATATTATTTGGTCCCTAAACTCAAGAACTCGATTATACTAAATTATACACCATCATATTATAGTGTCTTGAGAGCTTAGAAGAGCCACATCACCTGCATGAGTTTGTTTCATATGACTGGAGGTAATTCTTGATTCCTGGTTTATAGTTAAAATATTATATTCTTTGTATTTCTGTTTAGATTACAGATAAATGTTTTACAACGAGATCATATGAACCTGTCATCCTAGTCAATTGGAATATGTAAGCATAAAAACTCAATTCACATAGCATAAACTCTGGATCATAAGTCACTAGACATACCGTGAATTTTTTTTTTTTTTTTTTTTTTTTTTTTTTTTTTTTTTTTTTAATGATCGAGGATGTTCGAGCCCGTTTGCGTGCATCTCAACTAATCTCCATGATCCTAGAACTACCGGTCAGGTAAGAGCTCCATGGCCACCCCTATTAGCAATCGTGAGACTCAAACTCAAGAGATCGTGTTAGATCCTCTCTCTTGTTTTTTACCATTAAATATACTCGAACTTGGGAGAGTATATTAGATCCTCCTTGCTTTTTTACCATTAGACAATCTAGTGATGGTTTATTGGATAAAATGTTATATGCTTCTCTGCACCTATATATAAAGGCCTTGTTATATATAAACTTATACCAATGCCTTTGTATTCATGTCCTTTTTAGTAAGTCTTGTTCAAGTAGATTAGAGATTTATATAAAAGGCTTATGAAAATATATTTTTATAACAAAATTTGTCAATTATTTAGTTAGAAAAAATGTAGAAAAAGCTTTTCTTCTTAAATATATTTAAAAAGAATATATATATATAAGAAAAGATGAAATATAAATAATAAATAACATAGAGATAATTTTGAAATTTCAACTCTTAAAGTGTCCATTTGACTAGGTTCCTACGAGCTTAAATTATATATTCTTCTAGATTGTTTGAGAAGTGTTTGATGGATTTTAAATAAGTTTTTATTTACTAAAGAATCTCAAACTTTAAACTTCTTCTATACGCTTTATTTTGCTTATTTAAATTATTAAAATTTCAAAAATATCTCCATACTATTTATAACCTTGATTTATTTTTTCTTGTGTATTAAACCTTTGTTTTGGTGAATCGAATTTATAACCCTTTTATAAATTTTTTTTTTTAATTAAACAACTAACAAAAATTTTATAAAAACCTCTTTTAATAAACTTATTTCCATAGCTTCATATAAAAGAAGTTAAAAAAAAAAAAAAAAAAAATTGGCCATTAAAAATGGATTAAATTCAAACTATAGACTTGTCATATAACAAGTGTAAGGTTCTCCTTAGATTCGGTGCAATTTTCTATATCCATTTTCTAAAACAAAAACATAATAGTTTCAAAATATTTTTACATTGTAAAATATTAAATAAAAATATTGGATAATATTTTAAAAACTATGCGTTATAATTCCTAAAATAATATTCAAAATAATGAAATGAAACGCTCTAATATTTTCCCATGATATTGATTGGATCAGCATCACTCTCCTACTACATAGTACATACAAAAGCTAGTTCCTTTAGCTCCTTTCCTTTCCTTTTTAAAACTCCTTTAGGGTTAGGGTTTCTCTTTCCACTTACTAAACAGCAATGTCAACGTCAGCACCGGCACCGACACCACCACCACCACAACAAGAACAACAGAGCGATGTAAAGCCAGGACTCAGAAAGCCGTCTTCGTCAAAGTGGACCAGCTCAAACCCGGCACAATGGCCACACATTGATCGTCAAGGTCCTTGAATCCACCCCGTCTCGCAAAAGGGCCGATCGGCTTCCAACCCCTTCGCCAGACCCGAATCGCAGAGTGCCTCATCGGTGACGACACTGGAACCATAATCTTCACAGCTGTAACGATCAAGGTAATTTTATGATGATAATCGTACAATGTATTTGAATTTTTTTTTTTTGGTTTGAATTTATTCATTTTTGGTATTGGGTTTCTGTTTCTAGTAAAAAGTTTGGATTTTGAAATGTGAATAAATTTAATGGTACATTTTATTGAGTTCCCCTTTCATGAAATTTACTAGAGACCTCCCCTCCTATATTTAAAAAGGGGATTAGCTTGTAATTAGGCCAAACCTGTCGGGAGAAGAATGAAATTTAGGATAAGTTCTTCTATTAGGCAATTTTGTATAGGTTTAGCATGGGATCTTAAGGTCTTGTTGTTTGGATTGAGAAATGGAAACATTTTTTGTTAATTAGGCTGTGTGGTGACGAGGTTTCCTGCCAGTGACAAATGTGTAGCGATTGCTGATTAGGCTTGGCTCTCGTATTTTTTAGATTTTAATAATATCATAGATATAATGGGACCTACATATTCATGACACTCCCTGTACTAAGTCGTATTGTTAACAACTATTTATGTAGATTCAGTGTTTGATTCGTATTTCGTGCTCTTTTATTTGATCGGAGATTGGGAGAACAGTCAAAGAAGCAAGAAAAATTACAGTTTAATGTGAATGATTCCTTTGTCTTTGTGGTTTTTTAAAGTTCCATGTGTCTTTGTTGCTGGTGAAATTGGGTTTGTCCTTTTTTAATAGTCTCTTGATATTCATATCTGGTGCTTGGGAGTGCATTTTACCCTTCTAAAATTTGAAGCTGTTGATTACTTCCCCTAGCTCACCCAACACCCTCCTGATTATCTCTACGCTTTATGTCTTAGTTAAGTCAAGCTGATTATTCGGTTTGCTCCTATATGTTTTTTTTTTGTTTGGTCAATTACTATTTATCTTGGACATTCCACTGTTGAGTTCTTGATCTGTACTTTTACTAATCACTTGATCGTAGAAGACCACGAATTTGAAACTGTTTATGGGTCAATATGTTTTCAAAATTATGATGTGATGTGATTGGTGGCAAGAGGTAACTTTTGGAAGCCTTGATAGGAGGGTTGTAATTTCAATTGCTTCCTAGGTCTTGGCTAAGGTATTTCTTTCTTGCCTAACTCAGCACAAACTATTTGCCTTGAATTCTTGCTGATTGTAGTATGCTAATGGCTCACTGACTGAAGATTCATTCATGAAAGGTGCCAGAGTGTTAATGGTATAGATTTGTATACCACTTGTGTTATAACTTTCCTACCAGTACAGTATGTGTGCATTGCACATGTTTACTCAGACACCAATCTAAAATGTTATACTTCCTCTAAGTATAAATTAATTTATAATCGTGCGTCTCATAGATTAGCATTGACTAGAAGAGCATTGCCAACATTGCACTGATGAATGCTGTAAATAATACACAGGAACTAAATAATATTTTCAATAATGCAATCGCCAACAACAACTTTTATTTATTTTTCTGTAACACACTTGATCAGTAAAAAGCTAGCTATAGCTCTAAAACATAAAACAACTAAAAACATTTTCTCACAACAGTGCAAAATTTGATCCAAAGGCTATCTAAGAACTGAAAATGCATAACCCTCCACCTCCTGCTGATAAGTAAAGGACTTATTACACCCCAGAAACCCACCATAAATCCAAGTGCCATGCCTAAGTAGAACCAGTTAACTTCATGTTCATTACCATCATCATTTCCTCCTCCACTATCATGGTCCGATGTCAGAATAGTTGCAGTGCAGTTCTCAGTAAGTGGCGGTCCACAAAGTTCATTGCCTGTGAAAGAAGATGCCTCAAGGGATTGTAACTGAGTGGACAAAGGAATTTTTCCAACTAAGTTATTGTTGGATAAATTCAAGGAGCTCAAGAACGACATATTTGAAATGCTGTGGAATTTTATCAGACAACTTATTTCCAGAAAAATCAAGACACTCCAGCGATAGCATAATACCGATATTCTCAGGAATTCTACCAGTAAAATGATTATGTGACAAATTCAATAATCTCAGTGCTCCAAGATTTGTCAATTCTACTGGAATCTCTCCTGAGAAATTATTGTTGGAAAGATCTATAGCTCTTACCAAGTTAAGAATTGTGCTATAGTCGAATGTCCTCCCTTTCATCACAACTGACGCATCCTCATGAAAAATACAGAGAGAAACATCTAACAAATAGTCTATATATTCTTCATCCATCTGTACAGAATAATTCTGGGTAGTCATGGCACTAAAATCCCCGATACACCTTGGTACGGTTCCCCAAAAATTGTTATTCGCAAGGTACACGATTTGTAGAGAAGTGAGATGGCAAAGTTCCACCGGTAAAAGTCCTTAAAACTTATTTGAATGAAGGATGAGAAATTTCATTCTTGAAAAGCTTTCACCTATCCACGCTGGAATGTTTCCAGTAAACTCATTTTCACTTGCGTCAAAAGCTTGTAACTTTGTACAATTTTTAATTGAAACAGGTAATGTTCCAGGGAGCTTGTTGTTGTGAAGGTGTAGTGATTCGAGAAAACTTAAAGTTCCAATGGTGGTTGGAAGATTACCATTAAAATTGTTGTCATCTAAGTTCAGGACAATTAAGTTTTGCCAATTCACCAGACAATCTGGTAATTCTCCGTGGAAGAAGTTTTTGCTAAGGATGAGAATTTGAAGAAGTTTTTGCTAAGGATGAGAATTTGCATCAATCTCTTTACCTCATTCATCTTGTAACACAAGAAGTGAGAAATTGATCCTGACAAACTGTTGTTGGAAAGGTTGAGTTCATGCATTTTGAAGGGTGTGAGAGGTAATGGACCTGATAAATTATTTGAGCTTAAGTCCAGTGAATCAAGTTTTGATGACTCCATTAGATTTGGAATCTTTCCATATATTTGGTTGTGAGAGAGATTCAGGTTAACAATTTGGAAAGGGGCTTTAAATAAATAAGCAGGCAGAGTATCTAAAATACTTGAGTTGGATATATCTAGAAAAAGTAAATGCTTTTGTGAATGAAGCCAGGATGGAAATTGAGACCCCAAATGACACAACCTCAATCGCAAAATTTGAAGTTTAAACGTTGGGATCAACTCAGCAATGTGTTTGAACATTAGAGAACTTCCAGATGCACCAAAATATATCAATTTTGTGAGACCGGAAAAGTGCACTTCAGAACGAGTTCCATTCAATTTGTTATCTGAAAGCTCTAGAATTCGCAATGAGGAAAGCTCTCCCAAAGATGATGGAAAAGGACCAGAAATAGAGTTGTTACTAAGATCAAGATATTCTAAATTTTTAAATTGTCCGAGTTGATTTGTCAAATGACCAAAAAGGTTGCTGCCACCCAAATGCAGAGACTCTAATACTTCATGTATGTCTTGATTCAAATTCATCAATGACATAGAGATTGACCGTAAGTTGCAAAATCTTCTAAAAGATGTCGGGATTCCCCCTTCAAGATTACTAGATGAGAGATCAAGTGTTTTGAGAAAACTCAAGTTTCCTACAGCACTTGAAATCGTTCCTTGCCAGTGGTTGCCAGCAAGGGAAAGGTCTTCCAGACGGCCAAGTTTGTACAACCAGTTTGGTACTGATGAATTGAAATCATTGAAACCTAAATCAAGATACTTAAGAGATGTCAAGTTTTGAAGTCCATCATGTATTGTACCTTGAAAATTATTACCACTCAAATCAAGGACGGTTAAAGATGAAAAATTCACAAAAGACAACAGAGGAAAGCGATGAAGACCACAATATGACAAACGTAAAACCTGTAAAGAAGGAAGTGCATTTATCACCAGAAGCTCTTTTGAGGCTTTACTTATGTTAAGATCGCTCAAATCAAGCTTCTTTAACAAAGAAAGACCGGACAACCAAGAAAAATTCTCAACATATAATGACTGGAAATCAATATAACCGAGATCAAGATATTGCAGATTAGATAAATTTCCAAGTTGGTGAGGAATCATACCCTGGAATCCATTTAAAGAGAGATTAAGGTATCTTAGACTACCCATAGAACCAAGAAATTCAGGAATTTGAATTCCCTCAAAACTATTAGCACTTAAGTCCAAGTAAGTCAAATGCTTTAAATCAAGCAAAGAGGGATTTATCTTACCACCAAAACTTGCTTTATACTCTGCATTTAGGTGGAGCTCCAGCACATTACCTGTGAAGTTGTTGCAGACAACACCTTCCCATGTGCAACAATCTCCGTCACCATTCCAAGATGCAAGTCGGTTGGAAGGATCTTCAAGATCTTGCTTGAACCTTAAAAGTGCTTCTCTCTCACTTTGAATACAACCCATGTAAGAGCTTCCATTGCAGAAGCTAAAATTGATGGCTGTTATGGCAAGTAACTCAAGCAAAAGAAATGCGACAACGCTCATGATTGTGGTTTTGAAGGCTTAAAATGTATACGGTATAATTTATCAATAGGTTAGTATTTATAGTCTTGTTCCACCCATCAATAAAACTTAATATAATCCGTGCACATTACGTGCCGTGCCGACCAGTGGGTTGGTGACTTTGCATCAGCGTTTCAATTATACACACCAAAGAAGAAAGTTATCACGCATTATGAACAAAGAAGACTTCTATAAATTCCTAAGTCAACAATAAGAATCCAATTTAAAGAATTTGTAAATAATTTAATTCCACGCGATTACTGAAGAATAAAGAAAGTTTATGGTGTCACACTGGTATTGTTGCTGAAATACCACAAATTGATACATGTATACATTGTAATTTTTGTACTTAAAAGGGGTTTTTTCTTGACCTCCTTTAGGTTTAATTAAATAACAAAAGTCCCCCTAGCATTAATTAACCATTACAATTTATAACGTGATAGATTAATAGATATTTACCTAATTACCCATTTACCAGTTATTTTATTATTGAAAAATTAACGGTGAAGAATTTCTATTATTTCTCTAACCACATGGGAAATTTTTGTTATTTGAATTATTTTTATTAACCCTATTTAATAAGTACTCATAAATGGTAACATAAATTCTCACTTAGCTATATAGATGATATATCTAGTAATATTTTAAAAATTTTCTAACAATGAACATCTAGTTTGGACAAGTAACAAATGGTCTAATTGATATCTCATTAAGTATTAATTTGTGCTATGATGATTTGACTCTTGAGATGCCCTGATTCTTTGCTCTTTTACACTTTGGTTTTATTTTACGTGTATTAATTATTCCATATTCAAGATTTTCCCTATTAAAAGAATCAAAATTTCCAAAACGTTTTAATTAGTTATCAAGTCATCATATCATCCAAAATTTTCAAGAGCAATCAATATGTTTTGAAGTCGGGAAAAGAATTGCACTAACACATGAAGCACACGAAAGACTATTCCGCACTTTTGCACCCAAATAATGGCTTAATACCACTTTCTAACCAAATAATGGTTTAATGACACTTTCGCACTCACAGACTTTTAAAATACTAATTTCTAACCAAATTTATATTCTGTTTTCGATTCCGGCATCGTTGTGACCCCACACCACCATCATTTTATTCTCTGATCATCATTCACCAAAACCCCCAAACGCTACTCTTGCCGACTATGCCAATTGTCGCAATCCAGTAATTAGGGTCTGCACAACTGCCCTCCCAAGTCAAATTATGATCAATCCTAACCACCAAAATTCTCATTGGCCTCCCTTCTTCAAAAGCTCCAATAGCATAGATTGAGTTTGCCCTATGTTTGCTATCGGAATATAAATTTAGATAATAAAGTAATATTTTAAAAGTCTATGAGTGAAAAAGTGTCGTTAAGCTATTATTTGTGTGGGAAAAAGTCATTAACTCTATTCTATATCAAATAAATTCTAGTGTGTTTCCAAGAAAAGTGTTAATTGTATTATTAATTTGGGTTTAAGCCCGCTGCATAGTCTAAAGCTTTCTAATTGGGTCTCAAACTTAATTTCTAACAAATGCGTGCTGGAAATTAAGTTTGATAATAAAATGACCCAATATGTGTACAAAGACTTTACATGTCAAATGAATATCGTGGATAGTTAATGTCTCATTTGATCTAACTGTGGAAAATTAATTCCTCATTTGATCAAGTCAAGCCATGCACTGGTGACTTTATTTTTTAGCTTTTTAATTTTTATCTAAGGGTTTTGGTTTTTTATATTTTGAGGCTTTATAATTTATTTATTTTTTAATTTTACTTGATTTGATTCTTGGTATTTTTATTGGACAAAGATCTTTTCCATTGTTTTTCTATCCTTGTTTCTCCTCAGTTTTTAGTGCTGGGCAAGGCCCAATCCCAGGCTCCCAGCCGGGCCCGAGCTTGGTGTCAAATTGGGACCGGTCCCAATTTGGCTGGGCCTGTCTTAAACTCATGACAAATATCAGGGTTCACACTGGTTCCTTGGGGCTAAACTAAAAATTATGTTGAGTGGTTTATGTAATTTTTTGAGGGGGTGATCTGTAATTTTTTTAATTATTTAGTAAATAAATATAAATGAATGGTTAATTGGTTATAAATTTTGGATAAATTTCATGAAGAGACTTGAAACACGTAACGTGAGGCTTTCCAAAAAGGGATATTTGCCCCCTCTAAATTCGTATATATGATCGATTATTCATCTATATTTACTTAAACGATTAATATTCGCTCGTCTTATGAAAAAGTAGTAAAGAGTTATTATATAACCCTTTATTTTCTTTAGTAGTTCAAAAACAATTGGACTACTTGCTTTTTCTCATTAAGTATTAATTTATGTTATGATGATTTGACTCTTGAGATGCCTGATTCTATGCTCTTTTATACTTTGGTTATATTTTACGTGTATTAATTAATCCATATTCAAGATTTTCCCTACTCAAAAAATCAAAATTTCCAAAACGCTTTAATTAGTTATCAACTCATCATGTCATCCAAAATTTTCAAGAGCAATCAATATGTTTTGAAGTCAAGAAAANAAAAAAAATAATGTATATAAAAAAAAAAAAAAAAAAAAAAAAGGATTTTGAAAATTTTCAAGTAACTTCGACTAATAATATTTTCATAACATATATAGTTATATATAAGCGAAAAATCATTTTAAAATTTATATCAAATAAATTCTTTGGGTGTTTCCAGGAAGTTACTTTTAATTTTGCACCGGGAAAACTTAAAGTAGTTGACGAGTGGAAGTCAAGGTCCTTAAGGAAGACTGGTAAAACTATTATCATGGCAGACCCTCCTTCTTTAAGTATTGCATTTTAGTCAAAGTCATCTGACAAATACACGTTGGAAATTAAGTTTGATAGTGAAATGACGTACAAGACTTGAAATGCCAAATTTATGTGGAAATATTATACGCGTTATGTGGGAAATTAATGCCTCGTTTGACTTTTATAAATTAAAACTTTCAAGGGTCAAGATTTTACATTTAATTTTCTCTCACATAAAATAGAATTTAATCTAAAGAATTGACAAAATAAACAACCAAAATTTTTTAGACAAAAAATACTCAAAACAAACTATAATTTTTATTATTTTTTTAATGACATACCGAAATTTTTTTAGAAATTTTATAATAAAATAAGCTGTAATATTGCCTTTTCAGTATCATAGAGTTTTTATAATAAAAATTCAAATAAAACATATGGGGAAAAAAATGTTACGTGTTGGATTATATCTATAGCCTTAGACAAAATCTTGTTTTATGAAAAAGAGAATTGATTGGTTTGTTCATTAGTTTTCATAGGAAACCCGATAATTCATAAGTAAAATTGATTAGAAAGAAAGAAGAAAATAAAGAACGAGGAACCACCATTGGTTGGCCCAGCGATCAACTAGGATTCTTGGGTACATTACTCAAGATGTCATAAGTTCGATCCACCTGGGTTACTAATAGAGGTGAACATTGAGGAGATTTACCTAGCTATCAATTTCAAGGCCACAGGAGATTAGTTGAGGTGTACGTAAACTGGTCCGGACATACCCTATTACAAAAAAATAATAATAATAATAATAATAAATAAAGAACAAGGAAACTTAAAATGAGAAAAAATAAATTAGCAATAGATGTTAAGCCTGTGGGTAAATTAATTGAAAATGCTTTCCAACCATAATAAGCTTGCTAACTAACTAACAGAAATTTAATTTATTGACAAGATTTTAAACAAACGATTATTTGGAGCAGAAAATGCTTCTGTACCAGCAATTGTTAGCACTCTCTATCTTTTTTTCTATTTCTTTCTAGTTGGATATCTTTAAGAATTCCTTGTTTTGTGTATCAGCCGCTTCCAAAAACTGTATGACACTATGACCCTTGTGGAAGACATTGTTATAGAGTATGTCACAGATTTGGTAAGCTTTCTTTCCAGATGGTTTTTATCTCTTTCTTTAATAAGATGGCATAGCAGATGTAATATCTAAATTTCACTTTTTGACAGCCGCATAAAGTACAAGATATTGGTTTAAAGAGGGGATGTTATCAGTTGAGGATTTTCTTCTATATCGAATCAGAAAGCTTTTTGATGTAGAGGAAGAAAAGCTTGCATCAATTGTTGGTATGTGAGACCTGAAATTTTATACGGATGCCATTCGAAGTCATGACGGTTTTCTGATGGAGATTCTTTGTGTTCAAGGAAGGATTACTTTTAATAAATGTGGAGTGAAAAGAGGCTCCTTCCAAGTTTTAATTACCACTGAAATTTGGACAAAAGATTATCTTCACAAGCTTTCAGTTTTTTGCTTTTTTTATTCCCCTTTTTTATTACCCTTATAAAACTACCTTGACCATAAGTGAACAGTCCATGATGATGTCAATTAAAGTGAATTTGTATGTTTAAATGGTTGCATTGTTACTTGTTGTGAGGTGGCAATTGATTTATGCCCACGTGGAAGTCAAAATTTAACCTGGGCAGTCAAAGTCATTATGCTAAAAGCTAAGGGGTAGTTTTGTCTAAACCAGCCTTTAATAAACCTAATCCAAATTAGGTTTTGCTCATTTTAGTTTCTCTCAAGCTTTCTCTCTTGGTTAATAGAGAGAGAAAAGTTTGTTACGAAATGCTGGATGCGCTGGAGATTTGAAGAGCGTTGATGGAATCAACAGTGGTGGTAGGTCTTAGCTGGATTGTTTTTCTATTTCTTCTTCTGTATAAATCTGTAACTAATACTTGGTTATTTGCATGGTGTATGAGAGGCGAGGAGATCTGGGTTTACAGAAGGGTTTTGTGCACTGTGTAAAGGGTGAGCGTAATCTCTATAAGGTTATCTTTTCTCATAGTGAAAATCTGCTTATTGCCCTGGAGAATGGATGTAGGTAATCTATAAGATTACCGAACCACTATAAATCTTTGTCCCCTTTACATTTCAGTTCTTATCTGTTTATTACTTGTGGTTTTTATCTGCTGTTTGAATGTTGGA